TTAGTACGAATTTTAATTATTATGTCTGAGTATGTACGTTTTTTTATTCTTTGTTTGATTTTGCTGCCCTCATTTGCACAGGTACAAGATGCCGCTTGTGGAAATAATAGGGATGATGCCGTGCAACAAGAATTTCTTGATTGCATATGCAATTGTGAAGGACAAGAACCAGAACAGCTATGACTGGGTTCTGAAGCGGTGGAGAGATCTGATTGGATCTGATGTACATCCTTCAGTCATTGTCACTGACAGGGAGATGGGGTTGATTAATCCTATTATGATTAATTTTCCGATGTCTGCCCATCTTCTTTGCACGTGGAACATCAACAAGGATGTGGAACAGAGGGTCTATAAAATCACCCACAAAAATAGTCAATTCGCCGAGATGTTCACGCGTGGTCGGTGGAAGAAGATCCTGGAAGCAAGCACGGTGGTCGAGTACAACACTGCCGTGAAGGACATGCAGCTTCGGTACAAGAAGTTCCCTCTTGTTATACAGTACGTAGAGGATACGTGGTTAGTCCACAAAGAAAAATTTGTCAAAGCGTGGACGAATCACTTCCTGCATTTGGGTAACACCACGTCGTGTAGGGTGGAGAGTTCCCACAATATGTTGAAGCAGTGGCTTAACACGTCCACCGGTTCTCTTGACACAGTGTGGGAGAAGGCTCACAAGGAGATTGAGTCCCAACACACTCAAATCAGGTACGTTAATTATTAAGCTACACATATTTATTGTGCTATTCATGTATCTATATATTTATATTTTTTTGCAGTTTTATTATATAACAACTACTCATAAGCAATCTAAAATCACATTAAATGGTATTATAATTTAAACATTTTTTCAAACTATTTATGTGATTTTTATTTTTTTTGTTTTAACTCAATAAACAAGTATTTTTTACTAACATTAATTATTTAATTTTTATTAATTACGTACACATACATACAACATATAAAATTTTATTTGCATCTGTGCATGTGCACAGGATCGAATACTAGTTAATTATAAATTAATTCATGCAACCTATTATCAGGACCACGCTGGAGGAGTGCCGGAACAAACGAAGTTACCATTACACCGGATTTCCGTTCTCGCAGCTAACACTGAGGGTCTCGCATTATTGTTTGGAGTTATTGAACGAAGAGTATAAAAGGATGCGAGACTTGAGCGATGAGGTTACGACGCGCTGCGGGTGCGTACTCAGATGGACGCATGGACTTCCTTGTGCCTGTTACATGAGTATGACGTGCAATGCTAATAACCCAATTACCAAAGACGACATTCACGAGTTCTGGATAACACTTGAGGTGTCAGGTATAATTGTGATATTAAATTGAATGTTTTTTTTCGTTTATTTTTTTTATACTTCACGTACTGTTTTTTTTTATATATATATAATTCATATATAGGTTATGATGTTTAATGTTTTAAATTTGGTTGTACGAACAGATGCCCAGAGTAGTGCACGACCATCCACGAGTAGTGCACGACCATCCACGAGTGGTGCACGGCCATCGACGGTTGGGTAGACAGATCTGTCGTATTTTCAGAGCCTTGCGGAGGAGGTCGAAGAGGCCAATCCTGCGACCGTGCGTCATTTGAATCAGTACATTTACTCTCAGCTTCACCCTGACCAACAAGGTTGTCCACCTATTCAAAATTGCACAAAAACATTTAATATAACACTCACATTTAATATAACACTAATGATTTTTTACTTTGACCAACAAGGTTACGGATAACCTAAGGTGAAGGAAAACACGCGAGGCCGACCGAAAAAGAGAAATTCAACGAAACTTGATCCATGTGTCTGGGAGTACCGGGAAAGAAGTCGTCCGGTTGGCCGTAAAAGCACTTCGTCACAAGCACCGACAAGCTCGTCTTCTCAGCGTTCAGAAGGTCCGACATGTTGAATTCTAATTTAATTTATTTGTGTTTTAATCACTTCATCGAATTATGTTCATAAATAAATTCGATTATATATATTCTGACGTGAAATGTTTGTGATATTATAGAGACGTTCTCGACAGACTTCTTCGGTTACCGGTATTGAAATAGCATTCTCTACATTGTGCACGACTACGTAGAGAGCTACTTGGATGTGACCGACGATGGGAACTGTGGATTTCGGGCAATTGCGAGCTATATTTTTGGTGACCAGGAGAAGTACCGGTTGGTAAGACAAATTATTGCAAATGAGATTTCGGGGAACATTCCGAGGTACAAGTCCATCTTCTTTGACGGGATCGACGCAACACTCAATCGAATACGATGGGACGGGGGCCCTTGTGGCCGTAACCACTGGATGGAAACTATGTGCGACCTCTTTTCCGTTGCCACATTTTTTAATGCAGTTGTCGTCTTGTTAAGCATGGGTGAGCATGGTAACAATCTCACCTTTTATAGTTCTACTGTACTGTCTCTCATCGCACCATCGACGGCTACATATCCAGAGCGAGAGATCGTCTTGTGTCACCTTGGTTGTTACCCACACTACATTCGTGTTAATTTGGCGCCCGACCATCTAATACCGCCTATATGCCCTTTTTGGACGTCACTTCGAGATCAGTCGGTTAACAGTTGGGAGAATTACACAGCAGTAGAATAGCTGCATGGATCATGATTCGTGATGCACCTAAGTCTTGATATTCTTATTATATTCGGTTGTGATTATTCGTTATTTTGAACTTATTTATTTCATTGACTTCGATTTTGAGTTGATGTATTTTTTTAATTATAATATAGTATAGCATATCGAAAATATAAAAACATAATGTGAATGAGTAACAACATATAAAAAAAAACAACTCAATCAACAACCGACCCAACAGTTAATAAAAAAAAAAAACCAAAAGTCGAGCGTACAGTAAATAAAGAAGAACAATTCAACCAAAAGTCGGGCGTACAGTAAATAAAAAAAACAACATTATTTACATAAAACGTCAACGCTGCGTCGCTCTATCCCAATCTGCCTTAACTACGGACCAAGCGTC